GGCTGGGGCTTGCCCGAAGCCTGGAGGCTCCATTGGGCTGGCGCAGCCTCCCTCTGGGCCTTCTCTGGGTGCGGATTACCTCTTTAGGATTAAGTTCAAGAACCCCTGTGGGGAGAGAATGAAGGGGCGATGGGAGCAGCCTGGATGGAGGAAAGCAGCACCTAGCAGGAGTCAGGGCACCAAGCACTTCCACCCCCTGCACCCCATGGTTGGGCAGATTACTGATACTCCTAAGACTGTAAATGAGGATGATAATAATAATAATAACCGATCTCTTTGAGCTGTTATGAGGATTGAATGAGATGATGGACGCAAAGCTCTTAGAACAGCAAAGCTCTGGACCAGCACTCAAAAGCCATTAGCTATAATAGTAATGACAGTCTGGACTCCTTGGAAAAGCGGAATGCATTTACTGACAATTTACTCAGCCTCAGCCCCCATGTCTCCAGTGTCCTAGTCTGGTTTGCAAAGGAAGACAGGCGCTCAGCATATTTTATCTTACTGAAAAGAGTTGGAAATAATGACCAATCCAGTACTTTTACATCTCCTAAAAGTGATTAGAGCTCCTTTGAGAAATGACTGACTCTAGGTCTGGGGCAGAAAATGTTCAAAAAGTTTTTGGAACTTTTTGTCATGCCAGAAAATAAAGAAGCTATCAAAGAGTACTAGGATTGTATCAAAAGATCTCCCAAACTGGTTCCTCCTTCTGAAAATAAAAACCCACAGCCCTTTCAGGTTATCCTAAATAAAAAATCTCCCAAACCAATTTCATTTGGCTCCTACAGCTCAAAGGTCAGACATTTAAAATATCAATAAGGATGATGTTTGCAAGAGAGTGAAACATCAAATCATTTTAAATTCATAAAGGTGTTTTTTTAATCTGGCAAATTAGGGGAAAGAACCAAGCATTAATTATGCCTTTCTATATGGAATCTACTTCACATTAAGCAAATCACAGTGAGGGAAAATTTCTATTTATAAAAGCATTCCACTTAATGAGTGAATAAATGATGTTAGAATTAGAATATCTGCCAATCTGCCACACAAATGAATTAATGGAACTCAGCATAATCATCAATGGTTGCTGACATCACAGTAAAAAACCAGGATCCTGCTCTGGCCAATGTTGCCTAATGATCACAATGGCGGCCCATGGACCAAAGGTTGGTCCATGGGTTTGATTCCTGGTCAAGGGCACGTACCTGGGTTAAAGGTTCGATCCTCATCCTGGTCCAGGTCAGAGTGCATGTGGGAGGCAACCTCTCTCTCACATTGATGTTTCTCTCTCTCTCTCTCTCTCTCTCTCTCTCTCTCTCATCTTCTCCCTCGCTCCCTTCCACTCTCTCTCTCTAAAAAAAAAATATCAATGCAAAAATATCCTCAGGGGGATTTACAAAACAAAACAACAATAGAATTAGCATCCCATGCTTCCTGATGAAACACATCACCACCATCTGTGGCCTTACCAAGATTGAACTTGAATCTGATCAAGCCTCTAATTTGGATCCTTATTTTCCAAAAAATGCAGGAAGACAGAGGAACATGTTAAATGATTACCATGGGAATAAAATTCAGTCTGTGAGAAACCTTATAGGACAAAAAAAAAAAAAAAAAAAACACAAAAACAACCGAGTTCTTCAATTTTAAAAAATTGCAAGAAAAACAACGGAGGAGGAAACTATCGATTAAAAGAGACATAAAAGACAAAATCATAGTTCCAGCTATCTAAACGTATGTAACAAATCACTCCCAAACTCAGTGCCTCAAAACAGTAACAATATTAAATTTGCTCATCAACCTGTAACTTGGGACAGGATCTTCAGGATAATCATCTTTGCTCCACTCAGTTAGCTGGATGACAGGAAGGTTCGGGACTGTAACAATCGCATCTATGTAACCTGTTGTGCCTTTTTATTACACTCAGCCCTGAAATGCTACTTAACTGTTTCATGTGACTAAGGTTGTCTCCCAACTAAGCTCTGGAGGAAAAGGACTGGATTGTACATGTTTTTTACATTCTCTTTGATGCCCAGATGCTATGGTCTGAATGTTGTGTTCCCCACCCCCTCAAATTCATATGTCGAAACCTCATCACCAATGTGATGGTGTTTGGACATGGTTAGGTCATGAAGGCAGAGCCCTCATGAATGGAAGGAATTAGTGCTCTTATAAAAGGAGCCCCAGAAAGAGCCCTCACCCCTTCTGCCACGTGAGTTCACATTAGAATATGCTGTTTATGAACCAGGTGATGGGCTTTCACCAGACACTGAATCTGTGGCACCTTGAACTTGGACTGCTCAGCCTTCAGGAATGTGAGAAAGAAATTTTTGTTGTTGATAAGTCACCCAATCTATGGTAGTTTGTTATGGCAGCTCGAATGAACTAAGACAGCAGATCAGGGCCTTCACATAGTACGTGTTCAATAAATATGAGATGGTAAGGCCAAAAAATAAGGTGGCGGCATAGGTAAACACCTGAAATTGCTGCCTCACACAACCACTTCAAAACTACAAATAAAAGACAAAATGGACATCATCCAGACCACATGAAGGCTGGCTGAGTGGAAATTCTACAACTAGAAGGAAAGAGAAAAGCATACTGAGATTCAGAGGAGGTGCGGAAGTCAAGTGCAGAGGTACGGAGGCGCACGCAGAAAGGGCTGGCAACTGAGGATGAGGTTGTCTTTTTCAATCGGGAGGGAGACACAAGCTCCCGACTGCTCTGAACTCCAGTTCCGGGCAAGTCTCTGGGGACCCAGACTCATACAGGGAGAAACTGGACTGTCTAGCAGCGGGCAAAACTCGGAACTCGGAATTCAAGGGCGGCTTTCTCTCAGAGGTGCTTGCAGGGATTACCGAGGGACACTGAGACCCAGGGCCTCTTAGGGCAGGGCTGAGAATCAGCCATAGCTGTTTGCTCCACCCTGTTAATTCCCTGAGACCCTGCCCCACCCAAGCAGTGCACAGAGCCTTTTGCATATGAATGGCCTGGCCCTTTGCAATCTAAAATTACTTAACAAACTGCAGCTGGGTCAGAGAGACTCAGAACATCCAAAAGAAGGCCCAAGGCCCCACAGCAGCTTGCATTGCTTCACAGCTGGGCCTCATCTGGGCGCCTCCAAATCCCAAACAAAGAAGAGGAATCTGCAGATGTCTCCATAGCTCCTGCTGGGTGGCCTCAGGCAGAGGCTAAATTAGCACCTCCTTAGAGATCCAAGTGCCAGTGTACCCAGTGGTCAGAGTGGGACCACCCAGATTACAACTCCTCAGATCCATAAGGGACACACTCAGGGGGCAGACTCAGTGAGCACCAAAGCCCCACTAAAGCAAGTCTTGCCCCATAAGGGTGTCTCCAGCACAGAAGTTCTCCCACTGCAGACACAACTGATTCTCACAGCCAATTGGCCTGGAGGTCAATTCCTCCCAGTGATACCAACAACAATCAAGGCTTAACTCCAAGACTGTGCACACAGCCCACAAAGGGGTGCACCAAGAGTGTCCACCTCAGGTAATTGGGGAGGCTGAGCCACTGGGCCCTATAGGACACCTAGCACAGAAAGCCACAGGGAAGCAGCCAAAATGCGGAGACAAAGAAACAGATCACAAATGACAGAAATGGAGGAAAGCAAACTACTGGATATAGAGTTCAAAACCACGGTTATAAGGTTTTTCAAGAATTTTCTAGAAACTGCCGATAAATTTAGTGAGACTCTCAATAAATCTAGTAAGACCCTTGAGGATATGAAAAAGGTGCAACTAGAAATTAAGCATACACTGACTGAAATAAAGAATATTATACAGAGATCCAACAGCAGACTAGAGGATCACAAGAATCAAGTCAAAGATTTGAAATACGAAGAAGTAAAAAACACCCAACTGGAAAAGAAAAAAGAAAGAATCCAAAAATATGAAGATAGTGTAAGGAGCCTCTGGGACAACCTCAAGCGTACCAACATCTGAATTATGGGGGTGCCAGAAGAAGAGAGAGAGCAAGATATTGAAAACCTATTTGAAGAGATAATGACAGAAAACTTCCCCTACCTGGTGAAAGAAATAGACTTACAAGTCCAGGAAGAGCAGAGAACCCCAAACAAGAGGAATCCAAAGAGGACCACACCAAGACACATCATAATTAAAATGCCAAGAGCAAAAGACAAAGAGAGAATCTTAAAAGCAGCAAGAGAAAAGCAGTTAGTCACCTACAAGGGAGTACCCATACAACTATCAGCTGATTTCTCAATAGAAACTATGCAGGCCAGAAGGGAGTGGCAAGAAATATTCAAAGTGATGAATAGCAAGAACCTACAACCAACATTACTTTACCCAGCAAAGCTATCATTCAGAATTGAAGGTCAGATAAAGAGCTTCACAGATAAGAAAAAGCTAAAGGAGTTCATCACCACCAAACCAGTATTATATGAAATGCTAAAAGGTATTCTTTAAGAAGAAGAGGAAGAAGAAGAAAAAGGTAAAGATAAAAATTATGAACAACAAATACATATCTATCAACAAGTGATTCTAAAAATCAAGTGAATAAAAAATCTGATGAACAGAATAAACTGGTGAATATAATAGAATCAGGGGCATAGAAAGGGAGTGGACTGACAATTCTCGGGGGGAAAGGGGTGTGGGGGATGCGGGAAGAAACTGGACAAAAATCGTACACCTATGGATGAGGACAGTGGGGGGGCGGGTAAGAGCAGAGGGTGGGGTGGGAACCAGGTGGAGGGGAGCTATGGGGGAAAAAAGAGGAACAACTGTAATAATCTGAACAATAAAGATTTTTAAAAAGCTTTAAAAAATATGAGATGGTACATGAAGGTAGACATTTCCTTTTTCTCTGGGCTTTCCCCACCACCACCTCTTTGCTGGGGCCAGACCAATGCTTTATAAGTAGATAGATAGACAGAGACAGAATACTTAGCAGAGAAATAAATTGTAGCAGTGAATAATCAGCACAGGAATTTTGCAAAGACTCAAGCTTTTATTCTAACTTCGGAGCTATTGACTTGCTGGAGACTTTTTTTTTCCCCCTGAGCCATTTGTGAAGATGATAGCCTCGTTGATGCTCTGAGTGATGTAATCTATGTTGGAGGCATTGATACAGGTGAAGTTAATCCGACCATTCCTGGGGACGTAGATGTGTTTCTTCTTGACCAAATATTCTACCTGTTGGACTTGTGATAATCACAGGATCTCAGATCCTGGGGTGACCAACTCTAAGTCCCCTCTAGCCCAGGTGGATTATGGGGGATAGGGAGCATCAGCATTTGTGGGAGGTCATAGGGGTCTTCAAAGCAGCTCCACTTTCCTCAAGAAAGATTCAAAATCTGGTGTGAAGCTAGGGACTGGTCACCTAATCAGTGAAGTTGAATATTCAAATACAAGCCCAAGGTCAGAAAGGGGAGAGCTCTCTCCTCCTAGACACTTACAGTTGAGTCCAAGATAGCCATGGGTCCCATTCTGATTAGTGATGTGATCCCAGGAGCCAGGGGTTCCCAGGAGCCGGAGCTTCTCTTTAAACTTTTCTTTGATGAGCATAATGTTTTCTGCAACCTCTTTCAGACTCAGCTTCCTGCCAAAGGAAGGACAGCAAGAAATTAGAGTGTGCGGATTCCCTCTGCTCCCAATCTCCTCATTGCCATTCCACTTCTCTTCCCTTCAAAAGCCCCCAACCAGAGTGCCCGAGGGCACACCAGTGGAGTCAGGGATCTCAGATGGTTATGAATTGGAGAAAAGTTTCAGTCTGTATTAATTTAAGCAAGCCAAGCAGACTCCTATGAGGACTTTGGTAGAGTAGCAAGCTCTTGGGGTTTCCTAATCTCCTGCAATCTGGAAGAGTTCAAATAATTCATCAGTTTGTGTCCCATTCTATTACCCACTTCCCCATAATAGGGCAAGAGTTGGCATAGTCATTGCCATTGGAACACAGTGGGTCCTCAGTAAATGTTTATGAATGAATGGAGTAAAGAGGCAAGAAGCGAAGCACCCAGTTGACTCCTGTGAATCAGGATGTATGTAGGTATCTAGAGGCTCTGCCCATCCATCCCTGCCCCCACCCTTCACCCTTACCATGTTTCATACAGAGCAGGGTTACAGAGGATGGAGGTGATAATGCGAGCACCCGAGGTTGGAGGATTTAGCCACAGGGCCAGGGCGAAGTTCATCAGCTGGGAGAGGACACACAGCAGGAGCTGGTTGTTGAGTGCCACCACGGCTAGGATCCCCACTCCTTCATCTGCAGCACGGAGACAGGAGCCTTGTTCTCAGTCTCCTCTACAGGGCCTTCCCCTGTGACTCGGCCTCCAACCTTGCCGAAGAGAGGGGTAACCTGCAGGGCCCTCATCCCAGCCCAGTCAAGCTGGTGTCCAGGCCCTAGGATGTTGCCAAAGGCTCTTCTTCCAGGAAGAGTAACTGTCAGAGTCTCAAAGGTGGAAGGGACTAGAAAGATAACTAATTCTTAACCCCTCCTCTTATAGATGATGAAATGAGGTCTAAGGGGGAAACAACGTAACTGGAGCCAGTTTTAATAACTAAGCTGAGATGATGTCAAGGAACCAGATGTCTAGCTCCTCTCCTGTGCCCCATGCTGCCCTCTCTGGAGGCCATGGCTCTTTCCACAGGGTAGAGAGAGTATAGAGTGTGTCATGGGTGTGGCAGCAGACCCTCCCTTCTACTTCTGCCCAGACCATACCATAAATGCCAAAACTCTTGGACAGAGACTGGCTGCAGAAGAATTCAAAGCCTTCAGACACGAAGTATTGTAAGAATCTAGTATCTTCTTCCAGGTCACCGGTAGATAAACCTTGATAGGGAATGTCAAAAAATGGGAATATCCGCTTTTTCTAGAGGAGAAAGGAGAATGAAAAAAGGGTGAGACTGATGAAAGTGATGGTAGATGGTGAAAGGAAGTCAAGTGAGACACTGGGCTCACCTTCATGGTGGCCATCAACTTTGTCCACTGACTTTGTGTCAACTTGCAGTAGTCAATATTCCCGATCACAAAGATACAGCCATCTGGGGCCCCCTATAGGTAGAGACTGTCTCATCAGGCACTGCCCCTTCCAGGTGGTAGAGGCACCGGGGTGTTGGAGGAGAAGTGATCCTCCAAGTTGGTTCCTACCAAAGCACTAGACAAATCCAAGCCTAGAAAAGGCCTTGGGTAATTAGAAGGGTGGGAAGGAAAGGAAAATAACACTGTAGGTCAGGTCTGGGGAAAAGTTTCTGAGGGTGGCCTCTCTACCTTCACCAAATTGAAGAGTATATTGGGGTCCATGCACAGCTGCTCAGAGTCCCAGAAGGAGAATTCAAAAACTATAAAGCCCATGTCCTGGAAGATGAGTCCATGTTGTTCTGTGAAAACACAGCCCCCCACCAGCTGTTACATGGGAAATGGAGAGATGGAAGCAGACACACCAGAGAATGGCCCTGAGGGTCAGGGTTGAAAATGGAGCAATGACAAGAAAAGGGCAAGCATACCTTGGCTTGTCCACCATTTGTCATGACAGAGAGTGAGAAGGACAGCAGTGAAGAATGTAAATGGGGTGGGAATCAGGAACGGGAGAGGGATCTTCTGTCACCCTCACCTTGCATAACACTCACCTACTTGAGAAGAAATGACGTAGACTATTTGAGAATCCCCACGCCAAGTTTTGAGGAACTGGGCCCCAAGTTGGAAGGCACCACTGTCACCAACAGTGTGCACACCCCCTGCCTGCCAATAAATAAATAAATAAATAAATAAATAAATAAATAAATAGAAATAACACTTTAGAAGAGTAATGGTGATACTAGAACCACCTCAGGTTCAGAATATTCCTTTCTTGAGAGAGTTTGCACACTAGCAGTGTGGGCTGGTGCCAAGAGCATGGGCTTTGGGTTCTGATGCTGGCCCTGCCCTTCAATGACAAGCTTGGGACTCTATGAGCCTCACAAGTCTTCTTTGTCAATGCTGGGGGTGGGGGTGGGGACGGTGGGGGGAGGTGTTCCAAAGTCCCTTTCAGGTTTAAGATTGTGCAAACTCCGATTTCCACACCCTGTGTCTGCGTGAGTGAAGGAGGGGCCCTTCTCACCCTGTTCTCCACGATGACTTGGCTGTGCTTTCCAAAGAGAAGTCCCAACGAGGCCTGGATGAATGACTTCATGCCCATCACCGGTAGATACTCATAGTTCAGGGAGGGATCCTGTGCAATCTGCCGCCGGATTTTGTGCACCACGAAAGAAACCCAGGGTTGTCCTTCCTGGGTCATGCAGACTGTGAGAAGAACCGCAGAGGGTGCACTCGAGGCCTCTGGGCTCTGCAGACAGCCCACAAACAACTCATCTGTCCTGGCTTTCCTGAAGCTTTGGAAAGTTGCCTAGGAAAAGACAACTTTCCTTCCCACCCCTCCCTTTTATAAAAGCAACTTGCTATTAGTAAATATTTATAATTTTTTAAAATTGTTTTTATTTTTAAATGTTTTTATTGATTTTAGAGAGAGAGGAAAGGAGAAAGAAACACTGATCGGAGCTGCCTCCTGCATCAGGGATCAAATTCACAACCTGGGATCATGGTAAAAAAATGGAGCAATGACAGGAAAAGGACAAGAAAACCTTGGTCCTAGCGACCAAGAACCAGCGACCTTTTGGTGCACAGGATGACACTCAACCAACTGAGCCACACTGGCCAGGACAATTTTTGTGGGGTTTTTTTGTTTTGTTAATCTTCACCTGAGGATATTTTCCCATTGATTTTTAGAGAGAGTGGAAAGGAGGGAGAGAGACAGAGAAACATCAATGTGAGAGAGACACATCACCGATTGGTTGCCTTCTGCACATGCCCCAACCAGGGCCAGGGATCAAGCCTACAAATGAGGTTCATGCCCTTGACTGGAATCAAACTCAGGACCCTTCAGTCCTCAGGCCTACGCTCTATCCACTGAGCCAATTTTTGTCTTTTTAAAGAAGACAACTGAAACCTATGTGCCATTTTAAAAGGCGAAAATTATATACAGCCCGGGAGTTATAAATACCTGAGATTAAACAAAGGTAACACTGACGTTCACAGTGGCAAGGGCTCTCTGTATATCAGAAGAGTCAATTTAGGGAACCATTCTTGGTTCAGGAACAGAAAGGGGGTGGAGGAAGAGGCAGAAAAATGTGCTGTGCTCATGCAGGCCCCATATACAGCTGGGGAAGAAGATATACCAGAGCTTGTATCAAACCTCTGGAAGCCCCCAGAGAAAGGCAGAGGGCACGGAATGACCCAGGATGTTTTCTGCTCTTTTGCCCACTGGGAGAAGCTTGCGCGATGTTCCTGATTCCTCTGTAGCAATGGAATACTGCCCCCTAGAGGCAATTATGATATACTAAGTCTTAGGCATCTACCTTTATAGGCCAGGAACATCTTCTTAGAGCAATTGTCTAGTTTGTAGGCCTTTAACAAGCTGCCTTCTAGCTTCTGGGCTGCGGGCACATCCAAGAACACTGAAAGGGTGGACATCACTGAGATGAAAGTAGAACCAAGACTATGACTCCACTCCTAAGCTCTCTCCTGCTTTTGCCCCAAGGCTTCCTCTAAGCCTGAGCTTCCCAGGCCTGCCTCTTCCCAGAACCCTGGCAGTTCCAATACGGAGGCCCCACACAATTGGTCATCAGAGCAATAGAACCCAACTCCCAGTCTCCATGGTGGCGATCCTCAAGGACTATGGGAATATTCCGTGGCACTTGAGAAGAATCCCCTGAGAGATGGCTAGGGGAGAGAAGACCTGGAATTCTCAGGCACTTCTCCCTAACTCATTGCCTTCTCCTCTCTAACCCCAATTCGCCAAATCCAAAATAACAAGTCAGCCCTTTAGAAGATAGGGCAATACCTGGAAATAAATAAAAATGAACACACAACAACCCAAAATCTATGGGATACAGTGAAAGCTGTTCTGAGAGAGAAGTTCTTAGCATTACAGGCCTGCCTCAAGAAGAAAGAAAAATCTCAAATGAACAATCTAACCCTACACCTAAAAGAACTAGAAAGAGAGCAACAAGAAAAGCCCAGAGTAAGCAGAAGGAAGGAAATAATAAAGGTTACAATGGAAATAAATGACATGGAGTCTAAAAGAACAATACAAAAGATCAGTGAAACCAAGAGTTGGTTCTTTGAAAAGATAAACAAAATTGATGAATATTTAGTCAGACTCACCAGGAAACAAAGAGAGGACTCATATAAGCAAAATAAAAAAATGAAAGAGGCGAAGAAGTAACAACTGACATCACAGAAATACAAATTATTAGCCCTAACCAGTTTGGCTCAGTGGATAGAGCGTCCGCCTGTGGACTGAAAGGTCCCAGGTTCGATTCTGGTCAAGGGCATGTACCTTGGTTGTAGGCACATCCCCAATAGGGAGTGTGCAGGAGGCAGCTGATTGATGTTTCTCTCTCATCGATGTTTCTATCTCTCTCCCTCCCTCTCTGTAAAAAATCAGTAAAATATATATTTTTAAAAAAAGAAATACAAAGGATTGTAAGAAAATACTATGAACAATTATATGCCAACAAATTGGACACCCTGAGCAAAATGGAAAAATTCCTAGAAAGGTACAATCTCCCAAAACTCAATCAGGAAGAATCAGAAAACCTGAATAGACCAATAACACCGAATGAAATTAAAGCAGTAATCAACTACCAGCAGCCCGGCCAGTGTTGCTCAGTGGTTGAGTGTTCACCCAAGCACCAAGAGGTCCCAGTCAGGGCACATGCCCAAGTTATGGGCTGGTTCCCCAGTAGGGGGCATACAAGAGGTAGCCAATGGATGTTTCTCTCTCATCAATGTTTCTATCTCTCTCTCCTTTCCTCTCTCTCTAAAATCAATAAAGAAATATTTTTTAAAAAACTCCCAGCAAACAAAGGTCCTGGACTGGATGGCTTCACAGGAGAATTTTATCAAACATTCAAATAAGAACTAACACCTACCCTTCTCAAATTATTCCAAAAAATTCTAACCTCTTTTTATGGGGCCATCATTATCCTATTTCCAAAACCTAAAACCTGATGAAAAACACTACAGCCGAGGCCGGTTTGGCTCAGTGGATAGAGCGTCAGCCTGCGGACTCAAAGGTCCCAGGTTCGATTCCGGTCGGGGGCATGTATCTGGGTTGCGGGCACATCCCCAGTGGGAGATGTGCAGGAGGCAGCTGATCGATGTTTCTCTCCCATCGATGTTTCTAACTATCTATCTCTCTCCCTTCCTCTCTGTAAAAAATCAATAAAAAAATATATTTAAAAAAAAAGAAATTTATGTAATGTTATTAACCAATGTTTCTCCAATAAACCTCTTTTTATGGGGCCATCATTATCCTATTTCCAAAACCTAAAACCTGATGAAAAACACTACAAAGAAAGAAAATTCTAGGCCAATATCCCTAATGAACATAGATGCTAAAATCCTCAGCAAAATATTAGCAAATCAACCGGATCCAGTAATACATTAAGAAGATCATACACCATGACCAAATGGGATTTATTCTGGGGATGCAAGGCTGGTACAATATCTGTAAATCAATAAATATGATAAATCACATAAAATGAAAGATAAAAATCACATGATCATATCGATAGATGCAGAAAAAGCATTTGATAAAATCCAGCACCTATTTATGATAAAAACTCTCAGCAAGGTGGGAATAGAGGGATCATACCTCAACAAAATAAAGGCCATGTATGAAAAACCTACAGCCAATATCATACTCAATGGGAAAAAACTAAAAGTATTTTCCTTAAGATCAGGAACAAGACAGGGATGTCAGTCCCAGTCCAATCCAGAGTGTCACCGTGTCATCAGGGTTCCAGAGTCATTCTTTGTGGTTCCCTTGGCTCTGCTCTTCTGGATGCTTCAGCTTTGGTCTCCAGCTGACTGGGCATGGGAGTAAAAGCAAATGTAGTTTATGTGCAAAATGATAGGCATTTGAGGAATTTTTACTGCAACTGTATGTGCTGTTAAAGTAAAAAAAAAAAACCACAAAAAAACACATTCAAACCTATAAAGAATTTTTGTGAGTTAGGTTGAGACAAACCTTGTTTTTACATTACAATCAAAGGGGGAGAGATGAGACATGGGGGGTAGGGAACCTCTGGGATTGGATAAAAAGTAAAATGATAGACACATACTTCTTTTACTTAGGTTGGTGTAGGGTAGTTAACAGTCAACAATTAACATGACAACAATAACGATGAAGGAATTTGATTTCACCCTGAGGGATATGGAAAAAGGGAAGTTACAAGTTACCCTGACATTTCACAGGTATGTTATCTTAGATGTAAAAAGACAATAGGCTCAGTAAAGATTGAAGTTGATTTTTGTCAAGGAAGATACTGGCCTAGGACTTGACTACCCACTATAAACTTTTTTAATGAAAGGTTTTTAATTTCAGACCATCCTTTGTGGTTACTTTAGGTCTCTTGAATTTGCAAGGCCGCTATGCAGGCCTTCCCTGAGTTAGTCAGGTTAGCATGTGGCCCTTTTTTCATCCACAGTGCAAATAAACTAAATGTCAGTCACTGAAGGATGCTTAAATTAATAATGGACCATCCACAAAATGGAATTCTGCGCTACTGTTAAAGGCAGACCTATGTGTGTAGCTGTGGAAAATCTCCAAGAAACATCATTAAGTAAATATAACGGAGGAAGAGAAAAAGAGCAAAGAGTGGGCCATTTGGGGAAGAAATAAGATACACTTGCATGTGCACGCTTGCATATGGCAGGCTCTCTGGAAGGACACACGGAAGCACGTAACTATGAATTCCTCTGGAAACGGAATTTGGTGGCAGCTGGACACAGACAGGGGAAAAGGCTGATTTGCTTTTCACTGTATACTACCTTTGTACTGTTAAACCACATGCATAAATTTCCCATTCAAAAACTGTTTTTTTTTTAATGGCTGCAGCCTTTCCAGACATTATATCCTTATTATGCAGAAGGCCAATCATTTCTTCTCTTAGCTCCCTGAAAGGAGGAGGAAGTTTCCTTTCCTGGCTTCCCAAGCCTTCTTTCTCCCTTCTTTTGGCTGCAGAGACTCATAGGCCCATCCTTGATCTTATCATGACTGAGTATGGGATCCTCTAGTGACTTTAACCCAATCGCCTAGCGCTCAGGGTGGTGTCGAACCCTCCCAAGTTGTGCCGCCAGGAATAGAACTTTGGTTCCTGAGTCCTGAGTCACAGTGCTTGTTCTGAGAAGGGGAATGTGGCTCAATCCTGGCCTATTGGAGTCCCCTTGGAGAAGAGCCTTTCATTACTCTCTAGTCATGTGGTTATAAGGAAATGGGGATCCTAAATCTTCCAGGAGCTACTAAGGGTTGGTAAGACCGAGGGTCTGATTATTTCAGCTTCAATTGTGATGAGTGGGCTCTGTCTCCCACCAAGACCCACAAAACAGCAAATTCTCCAGACTCTAGAAAGAGTCCACAGGCTAGGCAGCCAAAAAAGACAAATTTTTACAATTATACTTTTCTCTCTTCTCCCAGTAGACTCATCTACTGCTGGCACTTCTTATTTTACCTTGACAATAAAACCAATCAAAAGAGACTTCCACATACTCCCATTGTAACTACCAATCTACTACATAGATACCCACCTACTCTGTCTTTCCTCTTAGTACAATGCTTGAGTTCGCCTATTCTGTGCCCCCATCTCAATCCAATCTTTTCCTTTGTGCCCTGGATCCAAGCTACAATACTCTTGCAGTTGTCCTTTCTCTTCTTTCAAGCAAACAAGCAGCAAACTACCATCTTTTAAAAACAAACAACATTCCCTTGACCTCACATCACCTCTGCAGCTATTACTCCATGTGTCAAGGAAACAGATCTGCTGGGAGTGATGTGGGTATTACAGGAATTAGACTTCACACTATTGGAAGAGGACCTGAGGAAGTGAAGGTCCAATGAAGGGAGCTAGAGAATCAAAGAAAAATCATTAATCAGGCTGTCTTGCCGGTGCAAGGATGAATCAGAGCTTGCATGGAAATTTAAAAAGCCAGACACATCCAGCTGCAGGAATGGCACTGAGAAGCAGGAATGCATGGAGAGGTCTATAGGGCTTCTCTGCAGCTACCACACCTGTGGGTCTGCAGCCAAGTGCCTGGTGGTGCTCCATTGGACAGTGGGGTCAACAGTCTGGAAGAAGAGCTGGACAGAGAGCTGAGAGATATGTTTCCATATCTCACCTGGGAGTCCTTCAGGTATTAGTAGACTCTGCTTCACTTCTGCCTCTCAAATCTTGAGCAAGATCCTCTTTTGGAGAGGATCTAACAAGGATTCTGAGAAACAGGATGCCCAGACTGACCAAAATAACAACAGGATCATTGACCAAAATAACAACAGGATCATCAATCACACATTTCTCTGGTCCTCTTCAGAGCAATAGTTATTGAGAGAACGTTTGATTCTATCTCCATTTCTTCATCTCCCAAGTTCTGTTGAATCCCTCTGATCAGCATTTCATCCCTTCACACCA